GATTGGAAAATACCCATATTTGTGTGCACTTGGAAGGGAAGTGATTCAATGGAGTGAGGAAATTAGCAAATATTAACAGTATCACATACAAGTAAAAGTTTGCTGAAAATAATTTAAAACTGGTTGCAGCAGTACATTGACAAAGAGCTGCCAGAAATTCCAGCCAGATTCAGAAGAGGATGTGGAAAAAGGGTTATAATTGCTGATGTCTGATGAATCTTGGCTAAAAGCAGAAAATGCTAGACAGATGATTGTTAATGTTATTGGGTACTGTCAAGCAGGTTCTGATTCATAGCAACCCTATGCATAACAGAATCATTTTACTTGCCTAATATGCATGCAAAAACTGGGCAATTAATAAGAAAGACAGAAGAAGAATTTATGCCTTTGAATTATGGTGTTAGAGAAGAATATTGACTGTACCAATGAGAATTAGCAAATCTGTCTTGGAAGAAATATCATCAGAATACTCTAGAAGTGAAGATGGAGAGGCTTTGTCTCACATACTTTGGACATGATATTAGGAGGGACTAATTCCTGGAGAAGTAAAGGAATATTCAACATTTGCTAGAACTCGTTAATATTCATTCACATTTGGGAGGGGAGAGGGTCAGAGAAAAGGAAGGCCCTCATCAGGATGGATGGACACAGGGACTACAACAATGGGCTCAACCCTAGCAGGACTGTGAGGACAGTGCAGGACTGGATAATGTCCTCTTCTGTTCACAGTGGCCACTATGAGTTGGAACCACATCAACGGACCTAAGAACAGTAGCAGTCTGCACTAAATTTCAGATTTAGATTCACAACTGTTCATTTGACATTTTCATTTGAATTCCTAATATTTATCTCCAACTTTACAGGTCTTCTCTGACCTGGACCTTCCTGTCTCCCCCATCTGAATGAAGAGCAATTCTTAATATTCCAATTGCTCAGAGCAAAAAGCTTTGGGTCACCTGTGACTGCTCTCCTTTTCTGCTACTCAACATTAAATCCATTATTACATTACGTTAGCCCTATTTTCAAAACATGTCCTTTGTGTCTATAGAAATTTCTGATGTGATTGTATGTATATTCCTGGGGAAAAAACTTGTGTTGTTCACCAAAAAAAAAAAAAAAAAAAGCAAGGACATTGAAAAAAAAGAGGCTAAGTAGACCACTCAAAACCTTTATAATTTTGTAACTAGAGTACTAAAAAAAAAAAAACAGGGATCCTAATAACTATAGAGGCACATTCTTAAATATGTTAATATTTTTATTTCTAAAAAAAATAAAGCAGTAGTATAGGAAATACAAGGAGCCTTGCTGGTGTGTGTGCTAGGCCTTGGCCTCCTAACCCCAAGACAGCAGTCAAACCCATCAGCACCTCTTCAGGAAGAAGGTAAAGCTTGCACACCCTTTATAC